GCCATCAGCAGATTTTCAGAGAGCTCTGTGATGCAGTAATAGTTAGCAATGTTCTAGAATCTAGATGCTCTCTAAGAGTTCATCCATATCCAACACTCTGATTCTATTATATTTAAACTCCTAACTGGCTCTTTCTTTTGGTTCAATTATTTATTAGCATGTGATGAAGCAATGTAATATTTTAATGGTGACTTTCTAGCCAACACTTTAGGTTTTTTCTTGTTCTTCATACTTCCCTGCAGTTTTCTCATAGCCCCTGGGAAAAAGGTATGGCCAGGGTATTGCTACATCAAAGTTTCTGATTACCCAAGTGGTTTCCTAGACTTATTATCCTCCTCATCTTTCTTGGTTCATTTTCCTAAAAAATGTTCTCTCTCTTGGCCAATTCGCCAGAGTACAGATTTAATTAATAGGTGGCAACATATTGCAACTCTCACTGCCAAGACACATGATTAAGAAAAGAGCCTGTGAGTTTCCAGATATTTGGTTTCTCTCTTTTTCTTTTTTTTCCAAATCAAGCCTCTTGGAATACACAAGATCATATTGAGAACGATGTCAGATTCCCATCTTACCATGATAAACATGAATATCTGTGAATATTAAAAAGTAAACTGAAGAAAAATACTAAATGTGATGATTTGCTGGTAACCATCAAATTTGCTTGCAAGGAAAATGATAGTGTTAGAAGATTGCATCACAGAGCTCAGAGAAGTATTCAGCCTATTTATCAAGGGAGGCCGGTGTGGTAGCTCATGCCTATAATCTTATCACTTTGGGAGGCTGAGATGGGAGGATCATTTGAGGCCAGAAGTTTGAGACCAGCCTAGGCAACATAGTGAGAGAAAAAAATTAGCAAGGCATGGTAGCACGTGCCTGTAGTTCCAGCTACTTGGGAGGCTGAGGTAGAAGGATCACTTGAGCCTAGGAGTTCAAGGCTGCAGTGAGCTATAATTGTACCATTACAGTCTAGCCCAGTCAACAAAGCAAGACCATTTCTCAAAATTTATTTATTTATCTATCAATCAATCAATCAATCAATCAATCAAGGGTCAAAAATGTCCTATGCAAGGGATGTAAAGAACAGAATGATGAACTTGAATCCTGCCTTCAAGGAAATAATTCATTATCAGGATATGTAAGAATATGACATATGTATGCAAATAATAATACAAGATGAGGAGTGATCATCTGCAACTCAATACCAATACATAAACTGCCAAAGTTGTGCAATAGTCAGAGGAAAGGGTTTAAAATGGGGGAAAGAGAGAAAATATCATACAGTAGTTAACCACTGAGGTGAACTTTTAGTTATAGGTTGAGTTTGGACACCTAAAATACTGGTATAGGTAGACACATCACAACAGAGACAATAGCATGGACAAAGAAAAGAGAGGAATCTGAAAGGTTCAAGACCTCTTCAAGGTGCATATTTATTTCACTATAAGTAGAACTTCTTGACTTCTTGGAGGTAAGATAGACAAATGGGAGTAGTAAGAAATAAGATGAGAGCAAATCCATGTTCGATCATGGCAGACATAGAAAGATTAAGAAGTTTTTTATTTCACTCTATAGACTCCCAGTAAACACGGAAGGTTTGCAAACACGGAAGTGATGTGATCATAGTTTACATTAGAAAGATTAATTTTTGGCAATATTTATTGTGGAAACTACCTAGGGAAACAGGGACTAAGCAAAGATAATGGTGTCAGTAATACAAAGAGTAGAAAGAGATAGGAGAGAAACTATGAAGGTCAAATCAGTAAAAATACTGGCAATTAACTAGATATGGAGGGTCAGGAGGAAGAGGAAAAAATAGGACTTCAGATTTAAATGTAAGGATCTGGGAAGAGAATGGGGCTGCAGACACAGGATGTCCCCATTCAGTAAAAAGTAAAGGACAAGATTTTCTAAGGGGGAGCAAAGGCAATATACACAACCTAAACATTTGTACACCTGAATATGCTGAAATAAAAATAAATTTTAAAAAATAATATAGGAAAAGACCTGGACAGGTACAGCCAAATGCTCAAAATAATCATTGTCAATGCCATTTCCACTTGGTGAACAATATTCTAACGATCATACATAAGTATGCATGTTCCAACAATTTCTTTTCACCTTACTTATGAAACAGGTAATAAATAACTAGATAGCTCCTCATTCAATATTGGCATCTCAAAATATTTTAAAATTTTTATGCCATTTACAATTTGCTCATCTTTATCTTTGTGCCACTGCAATATCTTGCATTTTTCTGTAACACTTACTGTCATAGTTTCTGGAATATTCCATAAAGTACTATCATTTTAAAGTTTTGATGTTTTTTAAAGAATCTATATTGCAAAGACTGTAACCATTTGACTAAAAATACCCACTAATATTACTTTATAGTGGAATTAATCCGAGGTTGCAATCATAAAGATGAATGAGCGTCCAGGAGACAAAATGAGTGAAGCTAGCTCGGTGGAAATCAGAAAACTCACGCATGCACATTTAACTAAAAATGGGCACTTGCAACTCAACTCTAGTCAATGTATCTCACGAGAGGTAAAACTTGCCAGAACTTGTTTGGAGAAAGAACAGTGGCAAGCAGTCCTCATTTCTATTTCTGGTGACTTTATTGATTTGCTATGTGGTATTCCTGGACCTCAGGTTCTTTTTCAGTAAAATTAAGTGATTGAACTAGGTGATCTCCTAGTCTCTTTGGTCTCAAAAGACCCATGATTCTGTTAGAGGCTAAGGTGAGTAGTGTTTTGTTTGTGGAACTGTGAGGAAACCACATGCTTACTCAACAGATATTTATTGAGTACCTACTATGTGCCAGGCACTATCCTGGGGTCAGGAGATACAGCAGTGAACAAAACAGACAACACATCCCTGCCCTCACTGAGCTTAGACTTGAGTATGTGCATAGGCGGACAGACAAAAAAATAAATAAATAAGATCTGATATATAGTTTAGTAAAAAGCAATAAATGCCTATACGTGATGGTGACTAGAATTGAAGAAGGTTGTGTGTGATCAGTAGAAAGCAAAGGATTAACTACAATTAAGCACCTTAGAACAGAATAAGAGCAACATTTTCATGTCTGTCCACCTGCCATATGGCTTCTGGCCTTGATCCTAATGTCTATGTTCCTAATAATGTACACATTTTCATCATGGGTGCTTCCCATGAGCCAATGTGGCCAGGGACTGTGGCAGAAGTCACAGTGAACAGTCATCTGTCATTTGCCCAACACTGTGACATCTAGAACACCTCCTCAAAGGCCAATGAGGACCGTGCCACCAGCAGTCACTCTGGGCTGCAAACTGCTTTTATGTTATTTTTCCTTGGCTAGCATTTCCTTTTTACACACACACACACACACACACACACTTGGCCTTAAATTCTAAATTTAATGAATATTATTCAATTGCTCTTTGTCACCTCCTAATTTACGTATGTATTTATGTATGTGTTTTTAGAGGCCAGGTGTCCCTGTGTCACCCAGGCTGGCCTCAAACTCCTGGGCTCAAGCAATCCTCCTACCTCAGCCTCCCAAGCAACTGTGACTCCAGGCATGTAGTGCCATGCCTGGCTTGAACTTTTTTTTTTTTGAGACAGGGTCTTGCTCTGTCACCCAGGCTAGAGTGCACTGATGCCATCATAGCTCACTTTAACCTCAAACTCCTGGGCTCCAGCAATCCTCCTGCCTCAGCCTCCTGAGTAGCTGGGACTACAAGCACTCACACAGAGTGCTAGGGTTACAGGCATGAGCCACCACCCCTGGCCCTAAACTTTTTCTATTAATTACCAATTTCAAAGATTTTTTTTTTAACTGGGTGAATGTCAAAGTTTAAAACAAACCCTCCATTTTGCAGGTCCATTTTCTAAGTTAATCTCCTTCGTAGGTCTAAAGAAGGCATACTATTTATGACAAAGAAAGGAAGTCATCACGCTGCAGTATCTTAAGAAAATTACATTTTCTGAAAGCAAGCTGGCTTCTATGTAATCTCCATAAGACGCTTTTTTTTCTTAGACAACCAAACACGAATTGGTTGATCCCTTAAAAAATAAAAAAAAATTCAAAGGTAGAGAAGGTGGTTAGAGTTTAAGTAAACTAAAACAATCTGAAGAACACTTAACCACCCAAGTTACCTGTCTAGTCATCTAGGTAGACAGGAAATATATGAACATGTCATTTGGACTCAAATCATAGAACTAAAGGCCAATATTTAGAAATCCATATCATTTCTTGGGTTAAAAAGTCAAAGCTCAAATTGCATGCTACGTGTTCGTGCATGGGTCGTGGTTGGTTACGGAAGTGAATGGGGTCTGGGAAGGAAACGCATGTTTCTGAGGTCCCACAAGTGCCCTGGAAGGAACCTTGTGTCACAGAGAGCGAGGGGCAAGGACAAGAGATGAGGGTGTGGCGCTCGGCTGTGGCTTCCTCTGTGTTGATTGTTAAGACGCCCCCTGGCTGAGTCCGAGTACAGAGCGACAGCTGGCGACTTCGTTGGTTTGTCTCTGCCATGCAAGCAGCGACAGACAAGGAGAAAAAAGGGAAAAACAGGTTCTAGAACACAGGGGAGCTGCTGGGACAGGGTCTCGAGGCTGTCCCCATTAACCTGCAGTTCGGCGTGTAGAGAAAAGCAGGGCTCTGGTCCTTGTTAAAGATACCTGCTTATTATTTAAGCTCTTCTTTCCTTCCCCGTGCTCACAGGAACTTTCTGAGAGCTGTCCTGTCGCTGCAAACTTAGTCTTGTGCTAACACCGATGAATTGCACTGGTGACAGCAGTAGTGATAATACTAAGTGAAGCCTCCTATGGTGCCGCTCGAATTGAGCGTATTAACTCACCTAACCGTCACAGCAACACCAGGAAGTTGGCACAAATTTCAGGCCCCTTTTTCAGATGAGGAAACCTGAACCACCGAGGAATTAAATGACTCGCAGAACGAGATTTGCAATTGGTGTGGAGAACTGAAGGCCATAGAAATGTCTGGCCGCTCCCCCTACCTGGCTACTCATGACGTCCACTCGTGAGCAGGACTTGGAGACGAGCTCCGGAACTGAGATGACCTCCGGGGCATCGTCCTGTCACAGTCCTGACTTCGCCCACTCCTCCAGGACATCGTCCTGTCACAGCCCTGACTCCGCCCACCCCTCCAGGACATGGTCCTGTCACAGTCCTGACTCCGCCCACTCCTCCAGGGCATCGTCCTGTCACAGTCCTGACTCCGCCCACCCCTCCAGGGCATCGTCCTGTCACAGTCCTGACTCCGCCCACCCCTCCAGGGCATCGTCCTGTCACAGTCCTGACTCCGCCCACCCCTCCAAGACATTGTCCTGTCACACTCCTGACTCTGCCCACCCCTCCAGGACATTGTCCTGTCACAGTCCTGACTCCGCCCACCCCTCCAGGACATCGTCCTGTCACAGTCCTGACTCCGCCCACCCCTCCAGGACACAGTCCTGTCACAGTCCTGACTCCACCCACCCCTCCAGGACATCGTCCTGTCACAGTCCTGACTCCGCCCACTCCAGGACATGGTCTTGTCACAGTCCTGACTCCGCCCACCCTGACACTACTCTGTCTCTAGAGTCACATGGTGACATCAAGGGGGAAAACACCAGAAACCTGAAGAGACAGGTCATAAGGGAAGAGCAAAGTCAACAGCTGAGCGTGGGGAAGAGGCCACCAAGGACGGAGAGAAAACCTGGGCTACTGGGACAGTAAAGAAATGCCACTTAAAAATTCTTTAATGTGCTCGGAAAAAAAAGAAAACACTGAAGTTTAATATCCATGTGGAAATTATGTATTTGTATGTGCCAAACCAGACACACAAAGTCTGAAAATGGAGATTATTTCGAATTGGGACTATACCAAAAACTTAGAAGAATAGTTGCTGTGAGAATTTATCTGCAGAGAGAGTGTGTGTGTTTGTGTGTGTGTGCTGGGTGTTGGGGGAGGTGGGATTGAATCCATTTGATTCACTGATATACCAGATAATGAGGCTGTTTTCAAAGAAGGCACTGTTTGGTGACATTCAGCTAGGGCCGGGTCACCTTGTAGAGGTATGTGCGTGATACTCGTATGGGTCTATGGAACCTTCAATTCCAGAGGAGTTCGGCTCCCAGAACAAGGAAGCAAACATCCCGTGTTTGGAACTGCTGGGCAAACCAGTGCATGGCTGCTACATGGAGGGTCTGTCTTTGATGTCACACGCTTGGTGACATCACAGACAGTCATCCGTCCCTGCTGTATCTCTGCATCTGTGCAGAGAAAACAAAAACCAAAAACCAAAAATATTGCCTTGTATTTATGGCACACATCTCCCTGGTTGTAGAGAATCTTCTGAAAGTTCTTTAAAGAATGGCAACAGAACACCAACCCTGAATGACCTCCCTCCACCCCAGCTGCCTGAGGCTTTAGCACGCTGCTTTCTGGATAGTTCTGTCTTCCCATAACCGGAGACCCTTCAAAGGCCATGTCCCTGTCTGACAGGGAGAAGGGACAAGGGGAAATCCCCTTCTGAATGTCTCCCATAAATGCTCCCCTTTCCTGGAACCACAAAAATGAGACACTGTGGTGGCATTTGTCACAATATATTATAATCATTTATTGTGACTTTCTGTTTCACCTGCGAGGGACTCTGTGTTAGCCAGCACCTCGCCAGATAGCCAGCACACAGTAGGCAGTCTCTTAATTTTTGTTGAAAGAGATGAATGAATTTACTGCTTTTGACAGAAGAAACTTTAAGCTCAAGTAACACACACACACACGTACTCACAAACATGGTACAAAACCAAAATAAATTACTTCATTGATTGCAAAGAAAATCAAATTATTAGATGCAGTAATTTTTGCAGTTATGGCAATATTTCTTTCTGCAATCTCTCTCCCCTTCAGTCTCCTCAAAAAAAAAAAAAAAAACCTCTGGCTGATAGCTCTTTTAATTTTTTTTTTTCTATCAATAAAATCCTCCTTCCAGGAAAGCTACAGAATGACTCGTCTTCATTAGGAACAGGAAACTTTCAGTGGCTGCTTCTCATTGACAAACTGACCCCTACTTACCGTGTTTCCTTGAAAATAAGACACAGTCTTTTATATATATATATATTTTTTGGATTTTTGACAGTTGTCATTTATTTATTTATTTATTTTAGCATATTATGGGTCTTATATGTATTTTTGCTCAAGAAGACACCCTAGGGCTTATTTTCAGGGGCTGTGTTATTTTCCCCTCAAAGCCTCAGCTTGCAGCACGCACAGGATGGCCGGGACCTAACAGGGGGAGCTGCCCTTGGTGGCACTGCCCGCACCTTTCCGGTCACCTCTGGGATAGTAGCTGTCACGATGGGGCAGATGAGAAGGGCTGCTCATCTTCTTTCCCGCTCCGGGACGACATGCATGGGTTGTGCAGATGCGCTGCGTAGCCACGCCCGTCACTAGGTCTTATTTTCGGGGTAGGGCTTCTATTGCGCAAATGCTTAGAAATCCTGCTAGGGCTTATTTTATGGGTAGGTCTTATTTTCGGGGAAACACGGTAGAAGGCATTGTTATCCGATTCTACAGATGAGAAACTGGCTCCAAGAGAGTATTATCAACCTGCTCCTTGTCACTCAGATATTGAGTGTGGCAAGGTTGTGATTTAAACCTCAAGGGTTTGCCTTTTGCCATTACAAGTGACCTACTTACTAGTTTCCTAACCTTGCCTTTTTTAATCTCAGAGAAAAATTGAACAAGGACACTCGGGGACCTGGGGAGGGGAGGAGTAATCAGTAGCAAGAACATCATCTTGGGAGGAAGTCAGCCTCAACAGGAAAGGAAGAGTGTGGTGAGTCCCAGAGCCAGAGGCAAGGGACCATTCTGGGAATGCCAATGTGTCATTTCAGAAAGAGTGAATGTTAAAGTCTCAGCCTAAGGACAATGATATCAGGACCATTTGCTCCAGCAGAGCAAGACAAAGATGACAACAGCGCAAGGCAGCAGAGAGCCCCGAACTTAGTGAATGGCACTGTGGACTCAATTTGGAGGAAAATTGAGGCTGTTTGTTGGCTCTTTGGCTTAGAAACACAAGCATTCATCTCAGGGACCTGAAAAGCTCCTTCACAAGGGTAAGGCACTTCGGAAAACATCTTGATAAAGCAGAATAAGTAACTTAAAACAATTGCAAGAGTGTTAGGATACACAGAAGACAGGGATTCTTAAAAAACACGGCTTATGGGGCTAACCGGGTATCCCGTAGGCAGGAATGTCTGACTTGGTGGGTTTGGCCCAATTGCTACTGGATGTGGGCAAGGAGAGAATCTAGGACTAGTGTCGTTTTAGGGAGGCCAAGTGTCTGCCTCCACAATGCATCCCTCAGAACCTTGCACAGCTCCAAGAAGTCCCACCAGGAGAATTGCCATGGGTTTACATATCGCATGCAGAAAATCCCTGTTTCTATTCAGAGTCCCAAGAGTAGAAACACACTAGATCATTCTGGAGCAGGATGTCAGTTCCCAAACAGAAAGTGAGTTGCTGTCATGACTGGACAAGACAATTTCTGAAAGAAGACAGAAAATGTCTAAAGTGTAGAGCATACAACAGTGCCCAAGGTGGCAGGAGACAGGAGAGAGGTGGTGGGTGGGAAGTGGCATCGTGTAAATAATTTATTCAATCAACAAACAGTGTCTCAGGAGTGCTAAGCACTCCTCCAGGCCCTGGATGTATATGACGAACAAACAGGCAAAAATTCTGGTCCTCATGTTGCTTATAACCAAGGATAAATACAGATAGACCTTTTCCACTTGGCCATTTCTCTTTGGCTGAATCAACATTATGCACTTGAGGTCCTTGCGAGAGAGGACCAACGATAATGGATAATGGCAAAGTCCTAAGTAAACTTGACCCTTAAGCCAACAATAGTATGCATTATCCTGTTCACCAAAGAAGAAACTGAGGTTAAAGTAGCCAGTGGTGACTGAGCTGGAATTGCTCTTCAGGACTTGGTCACTGAAGAGGCAGCTCCGGGTAGAGACTTTGGGGTCAACAGAACTCGATCTGAATGCTGGTTCTGCTGATCAGCTGACCATGAGCAATTTCTGGATTTTCTACCTCACTTAGGGTTGAGATGATAAAACCTCTTTCAAAGGGTCAAGACAAAGGTAATGTGAAGAACATAGTGAAAGATCTGGAATGATTCCTGGTATGCTGTAAGTGCTCAATAAATGATAGCTATCACTAATGACAACAACTCATCCATGCCATTTTCCTTCTGCACTACCTCATCTTGTCACCTGGATTGAACGGCCACCTGAGGCAGCACATTTTCCACCCCGAACACCACACTGTGCTCCCGTGAAATGCAGACCCAGTGAAATGACACAAGGAAGCCCCAGCCATGGAGATTTCTCCCTCCCATCCCATAGGCACTGGGAAATACTCAACATCAGTGGACTGTTTTTTAGGTCATTTTCGAAAGCTTGTCCCTTTGAACACACAGAAGTCAGGAAATGCAAAATTAACGTTCCCAGAGTAGCCATAAGTCACTCACAGCGCACACTGAGGCATAAATTTCACTGCAACTACAACAACATAAAGCACGGAGCAGACCAGACTAGCAGAAGTTAAGACTGTTACTGAAATCATAAATCTGAGTCTCCTGACTTGGGTGCCTTTTCATTGTCACCCATGATACCACATTAACACAACATTCACACTGGAAACTGCAGCATAATTCAGAGGCCCTTGAGTATGGGATGGAGGGAGTTTTCTTTTACAGGGGGGACTTCTTTGCAAACATTCATAAGGATTTCAAGCAAAGAACCCTCCCAAGAAATATGAGTCCCCTGGGGAATGCAGCTAAATCCACCCAGCATGAAAGGATTTAGCTACATTTATTTTCCAGCAAGTTCTGGAAGCAAGCAAGCTCTATCCTTTCAAGTGCTACATCCTTGAGAAGATGGCTTCCCCAACCCCAGCCATTACCGAGTCTTCCACATGGGCCCTGAGGAAGCCGTACTGAGCTATAGTGGCCCTGTCCCCTCAACGGGGATGGGAAAGGTCAAATATATAGGGATGAAATAAATCAGTGCACGCAAGTTGAAAATGTGTGCATTTAGTAGAAAATGGGCCAACATTCCTGCAACGTGTAGAAGACAGAGTGAGAACTACGCCACTGGTCCTCATGGCTTATAGACTCTGGCTGAGACCCACAGGATGGACAAAGCAGGTGGCAGGTGTCACAGATCAAGAAGGAAGTCACCATCTCAGTTCCAGCTCCCCTTCTACCTGAGCCTGGTGCTTTATGCTAAAAGGGGGTCATAAGGATTATAATACTTTATCTTCCTGGAAGAAGGGGACCACAGGATCTTTTACGATCCTGTCTGCTCTGTGAACAAATACTCTTTGATCATAAGGTCTAACCTTAACACCCTTTCTGCACAGATTACATTCTGAGACTATCCCTTGCCCTAAAGGCTAATGATTCCCGTCTCAGAAAAAACACATGCTTTCTTCACAGGGAGTCTGTTTACTTCTCTACAGGAAAGAGGCCTTTCCAAAGACGATTAGCAACCAAGACAGTCAAAAATGTCTTTACTTAATCCTCATTTTCCTTTACTCATGCTTTATTCTTCCTTTGTGGGTTATTGTAAGGTTTAAACAATATAAAAATGTATATAAAGTGCCTCACACCTAGTAGAGGCTCAACAAATGTCAACTTCCTTTCAGTTACCTGTGCCAGGTAATCAGTACCCTCCCTTTCAGAGTGGAGAATCCCCTTTTTCCCCTCTTCTCTGTCCTTCTCTCCCCAAACAGAGCATGGGCAGAGGATTGCCATATGGTCCCTTGGGCTTCCTCTCCTCATGGTACAAGCTAAGCCTTAGAGGGGTCCCAGAACCTAACTCTGTAAGAGACGCTCCACTTCCTTTTGAACATTTCTGCTTTCATTCCAGCAACCAGACAACAGAATCCAGTTAAGAGGCACTTTTGGTCTTCCCTGCTCTGTATTCCATCAGGAGTGTGCTATGGGCTTTCATATTCCCTCCCATTGCTATCTTGTACACATGTGTACTGCCTGAGCAATAAAACAATGTGACAATTGAATGCTGGCCTTTTCTCCAAGTTGCACCTGTCTGAGCACTGGGGCTGCTAAGAACATTATGAAGTCAAGGAGAGTTCAATCCCAGCTATCTCAGCCATCATGCTTTCTGCACTCGACCAAGCTCTCTAGCCCTTCCTCTCCAGTGTTTCTCACATCTGCCTCTTCCTCCTCAACTACACTGCTGTGGCCAGAGGTCAACCGTAAGAGACTTGCACTTGGCCTTTTCCCAATCTTTTCTGCACACAGTACTGGGACTCAAAATGCTCGTCTTTAAACTTTTTTGATAAAACTCCCTGACAATCTGGAAGAAGCTCCTCATTTCCCCTCAAGTCAAGTCCTGAATCCCAATCAAGTTCTATGAGGCTCTTCATTGGAGAAAATCTCCTCCCTAAGCATTGAGAACTCTTGAAGTAGAGGCAAGGAGGTCAAGAGAGACATAATTGTCATCTTCAAACACTTAGGTGCTTCTTATGTAAAAGATGTGTTTTTGCTCAGAAGACATAAGAGGAAAGAAGTTTAACTATAAAAATGCCTTTGACTGGAATAAAAGAAAAGATGTGTTGACTTTGGGAGCTAGCTTATATCCTATCATCTCCACAAGGGTTTCCTTCAACCTCCAGCTCTCACCACTAAAATTTCCTTCATCTGACCTCACAGCCCTTTTCTGCACCATTTATTTTAAATTAGTCTGCCATTTGGCTTTCTGACAGTTCTTGTGTTGCTGCTTTGCACAGCATTTAGCTTCGAGATATCCGTCTCACCTCTTCCAGGTATGATTCGTGCCTTACAAAACCTTTCCAA